AGAACAAGATGCCATTTCCATGTCCTCTGTTGTACTGGAAGTGTTGATAAAATAAGGCCTCGTAATTCCACCCAAAGAATATTTGTCTTGGAAATGCCCTCCACTGTGCTGAGACTGCTAACACTTCTGATTTTTCTAATTTTCTTCCTCCCTTTGCTGGCATGTCTTCAAGTCTGGATGATGAAGAGATGTTTCAGGAAGCCACCACAGAAGAGCCCTAAGGAGGGGTGGACATCCCAGACTAACGCAGGTATAGGAGGTTCCAGGAGAACGTCTCCAAGGAAAGGAGAGAAAGGAAGTTGATTCATTTGCTGAGTGAATGTATTGAGAGGGCATTTTCTCCGTTGATTATCTTGGAAGGCTCAGAAGTTTGTACTCTAGGAGATAAGCATATATTCCAGAGATGGTTTTGCCTTCCCTGCTGTCAGGGCCTCAACCAGCATCACTATCTGAGGGTTTACAGAGTGTTTGATCCACCAGCACAGGATCCAAATAACATCATATTAGATAAGAGAGCTCCCTTTACAGCAAATGGGTATAAGAGATGGCTCATGACATGCCACATCAGAACAGAATATATAGTATAACAACACAGGTCCATGGACAACATGAAATAGATACCACAAAACCAATTATCTCTGGAATTTACCTGACATTTCTTGATTTTGGAAAAAAGTTTCAGGAAACAGTATCAATGTGTATATATATCTTATTAACAATTGTGTTAATACTTGTGTTAATAATGTTTAATAATAAGTCTTTGTCTGATATCCACAGCCTATGTAAATGTAAAACTCAAAAGCAAAACAAAGTTGACCAATCAACAATCTCAATTACTTAATCCTAGCACAAAAAAGTCCATGAGGGCAATCTACATGTGGCCAAGACAACCCCATAGACTATCATGGCCAAAAGGAAGAAATTTAAGAATGTTTGAGAAGTCAAGGTTTTGTCTTTTTTATCCTGATTCCCTTGCTATCAAACATGAAATAAGATTTTGACAAGTGCTCATACTCTAACTTGTCTGAAATTTTTCTTTCATACCAGTGCCCAGCCATACAGTTCTAGAACACACTTAAGTACTGGTATTCTGTTCTGCAAACCTAACATAAAAGTCTCTTTGTAAAAATGTACCTGCAGTTCAATGAGATGTGTAAAAAACACCCCCACAATGTGACTTCTTGTGAAACCCTGAGTTGTAAATAATCGCATGCTTCCTTGAAGATCTGATTGTCCACGAGCTGAATCTACCATGGATTGCCTGAGAAGCTGCAGCCTAAATGTTACTTTCTAGAATCACAATCCCTTGTGTAGATCCATTTTTTAAAATGAAGTTTACCAAGAAAAGAGTTGAGCACTACTCAATCTAATAATCCTGCAGATTTAACCTGTTGTTTATCAATATTTGTCAACCACGTTCTGCCAAACATTTGTCTAAATGGCATCCACTTGCTGTTCATCAGTTTTAACCAGCATGACTTCATTACTGTTGTAAACCTATTGAATGATGAAGTGAACAGAGTCCCTGCAGACTGACTAAACAGGGACGCTGTAATAGAGAATTGATGTACCTCTAAGAAAGTGAACATGCACTGTTACTGTTGGGAAGGAAACTGTTTCTGGTATTCTGATTATTTGGAAATAGAAAAAAGCATTTGCCAGATCAGTAACTGCATATACAACCAGGGGCTGTATTGATTTGCTCCAATAAAGAACCCTCTGAAACAGCAGCTGAATTTAGCCTAGTGACACTGATTTCAGATTTCCGGGCCCAGAACTTAATAGAATACAATTGTATTATTTTAAACCACCAAGGTTGTGGTAATTTGTTACAGCAGCTACATGAAACTAATAATAGCCATGTTGAGAGAAATGGAATTGAGCTGTCCTTGAATATAATGAACATTTTCTAAGGTCATCTTACCTGCTTCCAAATGGGAGACTTGAACTTCTTAAGGACCACTTTCATTAAGATCTGATATCACCATACTACCTGGAGAGCCTCAAGTTTAAGGTTTTTGTAATCTGGAGCACGGAATGTAAATAGACCAAGAAGGAGGACCTATACCTTCAGCTCTTTCTTAAGGACCATTACTTATTCATGCATCCAGAACCCAGGGCTGCATCTAATGATGCCCATGCCTGAAAAACACTTATGTGTTTAGTTATGTTATAGAGGCTGAAGCAAAGGAATACTGTTGTGAATTTATTAGTTTATATATGCTTTTATAAGTGATTTTCAATTCCCATTAGACAATACTCAGTACTCCCAAATGAATCTAATTTCACAAAAAAGAATTTACACATAAATAACACTTCAAATCAAAATTTCAAAAACTCAAAATATAAATGGATGTAAAACAAGAAGGTGTGAAATGAGAGTTGACAAGAACATAGAAATTTAAGAAAATTTTCAAAGAAACTTGTAAAAGAAGACTAAAACATCCAAGGTAAAAGAGATTTGACTGAAAATATAACGAGGCTATTGAAGAGAGAAATGAAAACAACCAAGGAAATGGATTAAAATAAGGATGGGTTAAATGATCAAAGAAAAAGTAATCATGATAGAAGACAGGCACAAATAATCCACTATCCATGCAACTGGAGTTTGTGAAAAAGAAAACAATAGAATAAACATTTGAAACGAAAATCCAAAACTATCTTTCACAAAGAAAAGAAGAGCTGAACTAACATTTTGAAAAGGCCCACCACGTTCCTGGAAAAATTATTCTGAAATTCTTAGACATATCCAAGTAAAACTATTAAATGTTAAAGGTAATAGAAGGAAACCCTTTGAGCCTGGAAGCAAACAGATCAAGACTTATAAATAAAAGCAAAAGGGCATTAGTCTTCTTGAGAACAATATATAAAGCACAACTATAAACAGGAAGCAGCTAAAAAAACTATTTAGCTGTAAACATGGGTTACTTTTCATGCAACTGGAAAGATAACTCAGAGGGTGGAACCAAGAGTCCAGTGGATGGGGACAAGAGCCACTGAGTACTCCTAGGAAGTATGACGGAGTCTTAGTCAAGGAATTGGCAACATTTATCCAACTGAATTTCAGAATTTCTATGGACTAGTGACTACTATAGGCCTTCCATTTCCCCCCTTTTTGAAAGGAAATGTCTATAAAGACAGTTTCCTGTGCCTCTCTCATCATTGCATGTGCTATGTGGTAGGGGTTGGAGCAGATTACTTGCCTTTTTAATTCACAGATCTTCATATGGAGAGGAACCACTTAAGGAGTTACACCCAAGGAACTGCATTTGAAGAGCCTCATCTGCTCCAGGACCTCACAAGATTGTAGACTTTAATGCTGTAATGGAATGAGAACTTTGCAGGGTGCTGGGGAGGTGAGTGTATATCAAATGTGGAAAGAATGTAAAACACTTGTGGCCAAAGGGTAGATTTTGGAAGTTTTAAAACACGACCCCCATATTTTTTAACTCTCCTCCCATCAATCTGATTCTGTGGCTGCTTGACTAATATAATACAGTACAGAATAAAGATTCTATGTCAGTTTCAAGTTGGTAAGGGGGTTCTGGATAAACCTACCTTATAGGATTCTTGTTGAAGGGTGATCAAACATCACCTGGGGGATGGTGGAGGCTAAGGAACCTGATCAGATGTTAAGGCAGAGTGTTCTTGGTAAATTGACTTAGCAGCATACCTGCTAAACCTAAATTTTATAAGAAAGCGCACAGATGGGCCTAGAAGAGGTTCAGGACCCTAACTAAAGTTTGGTCAAGCAAAGAATCTTTTTCATACAAAACCAGCTGCTTCCACTTCCTGTCTTTTGGGAACCCAGCTGCCCACCCTGTGAGGAAGTCAAGACCAAATGGAAAGGCCGTTTGTTGACATTCCAGCAGCCCCAACTGAGGTCCCAATCAAGCTATAAACATGTACTGTTAACCAATCGTAAATGAATCAGGGGGCTTCGGCTAAATATAAGTGATAAAGATTTATTCAAGGGTTTACAAACCAGAAAAACAACTAGGCTATATCCAGAATGCTCTAAAGAAGAAATAAAAGCTTACAGTTCTTATAGTAAAAAGTAGATTCTTAAGAAGAATCAGTCCTGCATTCTAAGCCTCTGTATTGGTTCAGGA